AAAAAAAAAAGTTCAGAAAAAATTCATTCATAGTCGTTGAAATAAGAACAACTCCAAAATTTCGAGTTGGTTACTGAACTCGTTTGAGGTGAAGTCTTTTACATTACATTTTGGACTGCTAAGAAACTGACAGCTACTAGTAGTTTAAACAATTCCATCCCTGCTTGCTATTAGGCTTTCAGCAAGATAGCGGCATGGAGTAAGTGGGAAGGACGACGAGCTTAACTGGTCCTATTTGGGTGTGGGTGAAAAATGTGCTTAATCACAAACAGTCACTTTATAATCCGTCATGGTCTTGACTTTCTTTTGAAACAGTTGGGCAGTTGAATGGGTTCTAAGAAAAAATACTGTATCCAGCCTTAAAGTCGCAATTTTTATTATTCGACAGTATTTTGACTTTATTCCAAGCTGAAGTTAAGTTTACATTTAACGAAACTTCAAACCCTATTTCGCAGTTACCCGTTTTAGAATTTTGTCGATCTCTACTTTTTCAGAGACGTATGGGCTGAGGACTCAACGGAGCCATTGATCGCTATCGACCTATCGGAATGTGAAAACGTCTACCCATCTGCCAGTGCAAAAAACTACGGCATTGAAATCAAGGTGAGACAGCCTAGTTTGCATTTTCCTGAGTGCACCTATTTTAATCGATTGAGTTTCACTGTGAAGCCCTTTTTGTACCTTTCCTTCTTGTTCGATGATCCCATAAATTTATCAAATATCCTTGTAGAGCTTCCTCTGAGTATCGCCTATCGTTGACAGTTTCCAGCGATTTTTGGTAAAAGTTCGATTCGTATTTTTAAATTTGTTTTAAGGCGAGAAAGCCGAGGTGTGGGCAGTAGTTTTAGCCTCTTTGAGACGCGAATCTCCGAGCGACACACCTATCCTTTAATCTATCGCTCAATTTGCAGCTATATATTTGGTATAAAAATCCATAGGTCCCTTGGCACTCAGAGATTCATATCTTTGTGAGTGCGCCATGCACTCAATATTAAGTTCGAATCGTTTCGATCCTGAAGACGTGGAAAATATGGGTGGCCCAAATAGCCAGCTTCGATACCACTCAATCTTTTCTCCTCGGTCCTTTCGCTACCTCAGTCAACTGTGGAATACTTAGCGAAGATCAATAGCATTCACCCAGCATAGATTTATTTACTTGTTTATATTCATTTCTCTGAACACATTAATTCTATAATTATATGTTACTGCATAATTTATTTATTATAAATCATACATATTTTACATTTATTTTTTACTCACCTGATTGTTTGCTCTGAATCATATTTCCACTTGTTTATTTATAAATCCGGGTGAATTGACGAGCCAGTCGACTTTAGCCAGTTAATTTTAACAGTGAGCTTGCACATAGTGACTATTTCTTTGTTCCTCTTGAAACCTACCACTGCTCTACGATGGCTCAAACCCATTTGAACGAAGATCCTATTGAGCGATGGGGCTAAAAGGGCAGAGCCTGGCTGAACTGTGCAGCCATTATACCCAGGGCGTTGACTAGGGTATATCTGGTCTGGTTACTGCTTAGTTTTTTTAAGATATAACTGCTTGTTCTGGACCAGTGTCAGTAACGATGCTCAGAAAACCTATCATAATGGTTCCCTTTGAAAGAAGGCTCATCGTTTTCCTATTCATTCGAACAGAAGGAACAACAGCAATTATAGCGAATCACCTAAAGAGTCTCATATAACACTCGGGAACCGGAACCGGTAGAGTTCGGTTCTGCATAGTTACGTCTAGCGGATCCAGAGAAGCTGGTTTTACAATGAATGAAATGAACTCAATTATGGGCACCTGCGCGGTGGCCAGGCACGTACGACCTCATTACTGCATCCTGTCCATTGTGGCAATGGTTATGTATACTGTTTTCGAAGACGTTTCTACTTCTTATGGCTTTGATATGAATCTTCCTTTTGAGAGACAGATTGTAAAAGATTTACGTGCATTGTGACGTCCAAGGAAAAAAGTAATGGATCGCTCGGTATGCGCCTTATATTCCTCTTTATTAGGACATTGTGGAACTGATTGAATTGGTGTAATTCATGTGCGATAGTTCGTCACAGCTGATTGCTTTTCAGATGCTTTTTGCTTACGCTATTGAACTTGAAGTAATTTTCTGCCCCGGTGGTCAGAAAGCTGACTGACTAATGCCGAAGTACCCTATCCCCTTCACTTGCTCCTTGGATTCTAATAGGTTTCGGAAATACCATAGTGCTTTCTACTTTCAGTGCCGACGTACTCGCTATGTACTCTCTGCAATGACTCCTGGTATACGTGACAGTTGGATTACAGCTCTTCAACAAAATAGGTAAGTTTTCTATCAATATTCAATCAATTTATCGATACTTAATGATCGCTCTTGTCTTTTTGAAGTTTTTCTGATTTGGAAACGTTCAGGCACAATCCTTCTCCAACCTATGCAGAGACTTGTGCATCGAATGAT